TTATGCTCTTATTATCTCTCCCCATATAACTTCCTCACAGGTAACTCACTGCAAAAGATTTACTTGGATACTTGCCACTATTGACTAATTCTGCACGATTAGGCCAAGCCATTTTCTGATTAATATTGATCAGCCTGTAAATGACATGCACTCCTGCCTAAAGACAGGCGCACTAACCCAAGAGCCAATTTTCCAGGAGTCAGGACATCCTGGTTCCTTGCGACAGTAACACAGGAATAGCTGGCAGGTGTCTGGGGGCCTTTGTCCCAAGTTTCTTAACTCTGGCCTGGAGGTTGCCCGGGGACATAAAGCTTCCGCCAAGGACCAGAAGGGGATGGTCCCCAGGGCAGTTCAGGACCCAGGTGACTGAATCCTGAGTTGCCAATTGCTAATTCAGATTTGGATGATAAGCTTCAGAGCCAGTCCAGCCAGTAGGCAAATGGGAAGATGGGAGTGATTCTCCACCTACCATAATTTTAAAAACAAAATTTAAGAGAACACATTGTTGTTACTGTTAGAAAAGTTTACCACTTCCGGTTTACACTGCTCCCCCCCCCCCCAATAATATCTTTTCTTGGCAAAAGACTACAAAATTATCACCTGCTGCTGGTATCTCAGACATCGCCAGGGTTAGGAATACTTTCGTTCGCATCAAGGAGATCAAACAAGACCCTAAAAAATTCTCCTATCCGAGGGCGGCTCTGCCATAGGCACTCCAGGGACAAGCGGGACACGAAGACAGTCCAAGGAAGCAAAGAAGCAGCAAGGCATGATGACACTCCGGGCCCGCCCCAGAGAGGCCCAGCCAGAGGGCAGCGGAGGGCTGCAGCTCACAGCAGGGAAGGACAGGTGTGTCCTTCCTCAGTCACCTTCCTCAGTGCAGGACACTTGCCATTTGAAGGTGAGAGGTTCAGTCTGGCTCTCTTCTCAGATCAGCATGGGCTGGCTCCAAAGAAGCAAAGTCAGAGGGGCCTGGCAGAACACAGCTGCTCACAGCAAACAGGAAGGAAAGACAAGAGAGGGGTGGGGGAGAAGATAAACCCCTCCAGGCCACACCCCCTGCACCTCCTCCAATCAACATCCAAAGGCGCCTGCGCATGCGGCTCTGGGAAACTGTGTGGTAACTATAAAGGAGAATCCAGGGCCAGCACTACCTAAAGTGTGGCAAGCAGGGTTTTCCTGAGCGTCAGTCATGGCTAAGCCAGCTTCTGCCTGTCTGCAAACATTAATAAAAAGCTGGTATGCTAGGCGGTCCTGCGCAATTTGCTTTTATGCTCAACGCTGCTTTTGAAATTTATCCATATTGATGACTGTGGCTCTCCCTCATTTATTTCAATTGCTCCAAATTATTTAATTGACTGTATAGAAAATAATTTTTCTTTTTTCTGCTATGGTTTCTAGTAACATTTTTGCTAATATGAATAATATGGAATGAATATATATATATATATGTATATATATATATTTTTTAGTTTTTTGATACAGGGTCTCAGGCTGGTCTTGAATTCACTATATAACCCTTGCTGGCCTCAAACTTGTGGCAATCCTCTTGCCTCAGCCTATTGGGTTGCTGTGATTAAGACATACTCCACCAGCCCCTGCCAAACCTTCTTGAACATGCCTTTTTACACCTATGTACAAGAGTTCCTTTAAGATAATATTGGAAGTGGGGCTGTGGGATCCAAGGTTATACAAAGCATTCATTGTATCAGTTATTGTTAAAATCACCTGACATAGGAGTTAATTCGCATTCCCACCAACAGGGCGCGCTGCTAACTGACACTGCCAACATGACACTGGCACTTTTTTATCCACTTTTGGATCCCAAGTGACTGTGAACAGGTTTTCCACATTTACCAGCCTGTCCAGCTCTGGGAACTGCTTTTTTCTATCTTTTGTAAGTTTTCTATGGGGCAAATTTTGGGAGGAATTGAACTCAAGACCTAGCACTGTGCGGATGAGTTATATCCCAGCCAGGAACAATTTCTTTTTTTTTATTAATTTGAGAAGTTCTTTGTATCCCAGATACAACCTTTTGTCACTTATGGGTACTTTAAACATTTTTCCTGTCACTTTTTAAATGAGTCAGGCGTGATGGAGCACACCTGTGATCCCCACACTCGGGGGCTGAGACAGGAGGATCACTGTGGGTGCCAGGCCTGCCTGGGCTGTAGGTGAGACCCTGTCTCAAAAACCAATAAAAAAGAAAAGCCTCTGCGACCTATTTTGTATTGAATTTTAAAAATCTGATTTAGAGGTCTATTTTCCTCGTTTTATTACTCAGTTAAATCAGCCTCAGCTTATTGATTTGCTCATCCTTGCCTAACCTGTAATTCCCACACTGGTCCACACGAGTGCGTGTCTCCACCGCTGTTCTTTCTCCGGCCTGATGGGGGCGGTGTGGCGACAGAGAGGCCTTCAGCCCGCGGCTGCGCATGTGTGCAATCGCAGCTTTCACGTCCCGCTTTGTCAGCTCCTGGGCGACCTCGGCGCGATGACATGTCCCTGGAGTGTGTGTGTGTGTGGAGTGGGGGTGCTGATCTGCTGCCTTGGGCAGCGGTCTCCTGACTCTGGCCTGTCGGAGGAGTCAGGATGCTGCATGACCTTCCAGCCCCAGGGCCGCGGGGTGGAGGACATCACTCATCCTGAGACAGCTGTCAGTCTCCAGGCCCCGTGCTGCCTGCTGCTAGAAGGGCTGGCTCCCTGCTTTCTCAGTGCGCTCTGTGTTGCTTTCCTCGGGCTATTTCCCCGTCTCGTTCCCTCCCCACGCCGCTGTGCTCCATGTTCAATGCCAGGTGTCAGCAATGTTTGTTCACTTTTAAAATTAGGGCTTAAAGTATGCCGCAGGGAACACTAAGCTTGGGGGAATCTCATAAAACCCTTGTAATAACTGCATAGGACATGTGCAATTCTGATCAAGTGGCCCATGAGGAAAACATCTAAATTTAAGTAATATCTAAACTTAAATGAATATTAGTTTTTTCCTGTTTTGTTTTGATTTTGTTTTTTGAATCAGGGTCTTGCTTTGTAGTTCAAGCTGGCCCTGAACTCATCATGTTGCGGAGGCTGGCCTTTAACTCAAGCTTCCGGCCTCAGCCTCCTGAGGAGCCAGGACTACAGGTGTAGGCCAACATTCCTGGCTGTTCCCCTACTCTTTAGAAAAACAAAAGACCTCTGTATTTTTCCTTCCTAAAGCTTTTTAATTGCAGGAATAGTTACAGAATCTCTTTAGTAAAAGAAACTTTATGAGACATTTGACTGACATTCACTAAAAGTTAAGGTTAATTGTTAAGTGTACAATGTCTGCCATCTGCCTGAGCATGTGACTCTTATTTACCGTTCTGAGGACACTTGCTCCCATGAGGGACAAAAGATGCTACAGAAAGGCAGTCTGGGAGGTCCGGTGTCTCCTGTGTGTCTCTGACTGGATCTGCACTCACCCCAGGTTAGTGAGTAAAGAGCCCTGTGTGTGTTGCTGGTGACAACTGAGCGATATCCCATGTGTGGTGAGGGGAGCAGAGGGGAGGGACAAAGTACCTGGGGGTTATATGAAGCTCTGGAGTGCTTTACCCCACTCCGTGCCCAGGGCTCCTAACAGAGCCTGAGATGCTCACAGTTAGAGAAATGGACCATGGGATACTGCTGTCCAAATGGGGACCAGATTTGGCCAGGCAGAGGAAAGGCAGTTCAGGTTGTGCCAAGGGCCAGGAGTTGCAGGGGGCAGCCTGGTTCCCTCACACAGGAGGGCTTTTCACGGAGGTTGGAAGCCATGAAGCTGCACATACTGAAAGGATGTCATGATTGACTCAAGGAGAATTATGCACTGTGCTTTATGTGACTGGTAAAGACCAGGACCCACTCCCACCCTGTGGTCTGGCTCAGGACTCTGCCTCTCAAACATTCCTAATTTCTAGTAGCAAAAGGAATCTCGGGCACCTAACTTGCAAATCCTGAGCTATGGACAGAGCTGGTATACTATATAAAGGACAAGGGTCATCATATTCCGAGTCTTACAAGATATGTATGCAAGTTAGTCACTTGGCTGTCACTGCTGTGCACAAAAACTCACCTTGCTTAAGCAGAGATGAGCCAGGACTTCTCTCAAATAACTTAGAAATTTGTTCTCTGTCAGATTTGAGATCACAGGCTAAGCTCTGCTTCTTATCCAACATGAGCTACAAAGCTGAATGCTCTATAAGTCTCTGAACCTCTTGACTATTAGATGCTCAGGAATGGAAACCTATTCCAAATAGGTGAAACCCAGAGGTAAGTAAGAAAGAACTGTGTACAACTGAGAAAGGCTAGGTGGGGACTCCTGGACTTCTTGTTCTTAGAGTGCTGCATTTTTCAAATCCCACTGAGTGTGCTCAGAAGGTATAGAGCCAGCTCTGCATCCACACCAGGCACAGCTGAGTGATCAGGAGGAGCTGGCCTTGGGAAGCCAACTTGGTCTGAGATGTGGCTGTCACTTGAGGACACCCAGTTACTGGAAAAGTGTATTAGGATTTATGGGTGAAGCCCATGTGGTAAACTTCAGGTCCTTTTTCCCTCGATAATCTAGAAGTGCAACCCAACACTACAAAGGGTGTCTTTTAGGTTATGAATTCAGTGGCAGCGTGGTGATCCAGTATTAGGGACAATACAGATCTCTCCCCAGAGTCTGACAAAGTTGAAAAAAATGCTTTGGAGTTGACCTATTCAATTAGGAACCTTCTACATCAAATGGAAAAAATGGAGTCTATTGTAAAAAGAACATATAATCATTGTTTTTATTACATTTGATGGGCTGCTACTAGTATGAGCTGCTACTAGTCATTTGATTTAAAAAACTGGTTTTTTAATTAACTGGTCTTAAAATGATCAATGTGTTAATATAAAGCCTTTTACTGTCCAGGGCTGGACTCTAAGCCAACGCTATGCGATTGACACGGAAGTACTTCTGGTAATAGTTTCAGGGTGATTAACTTCTGGGGCAGGTCCTGTCAGAGGGCGCTACTTACGATGAGCTGCCTCAGCCCCACGAAAGACTGCTCCACCGAGCTGGCCGTCAGCACCTGCCTCTTGGCTGCAGCCTTCTCGCCCAGGAATCGAAGCATCAGGTCTTTGACAGCATCTCCCTGGGAAGAGTGCAACAGTGTTACCAAGACTGCACCAGAAGCGGGATGGCAGGATGGCTCCACGGCTCTTTATCCAGGGGAAGAGATGGTGAGTCACCCCCCAGTGCCAGGCTCCTGGCAGGAGCGAAACCAGGCTGTGAGGAGCTTCTGGGGATTTTCTCCGGAGGCTCCAGGGAGCAGGATGTGATGCTCTGAGGGGCAGTGGCTTGCCACCCAGAAGGCAACCGAGCAGTAGCCTTGCAAAGAAAGCTGCCCAAGTCGCTCCCGCACCCCGTGTGGGCCTGGATCAACACTGCAGGAAGCTCCAGAGGGCTGATGGAACTGTTGTCATCTTCCTCTGCGCTAGGTCCCAACCGGGCTCTGGCCTTGCAGTTTGTCACATGCATTTCCCTCTGCACTAGGCCACCCCCACCTGCTAACCTGGTACCTCATGTGTGACACCTGCTTCAGAGGGAAGCCACTGAAGGACAGGGGTAGGGAGGAAGGGTGCATTCCTGGGATCTGTGTGGCCTAGGAGAGACGCACCAGACCTGGGATGACCAGGAACCATCTGGAAGCTGGAGAAAAGCACTGGACAGGACACAGCAGGCAGCCCTGGAGATGAGTGCCTGGGAGCCTGCAATGGTCATTCTGAGCTGGAAGTCACCATATAAAATGCCACATGGGACGTGCTATGAAATGCACAGGTCTCAGTACCAGGGTCAGGGAGCGCAGCCAGCCTGCCGGACACAGGCCCCCTATGGTTGGCACCCACCAGGGTCCCATGCCACAGCTACGAATACCACAAAGACCAGCACAGCCCAATGTGCCCCCCCACTCCCTGGCACACGCTCTGGGGATCCAGTGGGCCAGGCTGACCCAGCATGGCTTCATAGCTGCTGAGAAAGGGACACAAACTTCAACGGGACCAAAGATCTGTGGGTAACTGAAGAGAAACCTAAACTGGGCCACTCTCAGGAGGGTGACAGGGGCTGGATCCCCCCATGTCAGCTGGACTGCACTTTCCTGTCATCCTCCCACTCTTGGAGGAAAAGAAAGCGCAGAAGCAGGTCTCCTTGCAGACGAGGTTACTGGAATCTTCTGCAGCTTTTCAGATGGTGACACTTTGAAGAAAGCAGCAGCTAGAACAGGTAAGCAAGAGAGGCGGCCAAAGTGCGCCTGGGTCTGTTGATACCTTCCATGGGGCAGAGTCACAGCCCACCGCAGGAGGATAGGCTGGCTCCAGGTGAGGAGCTATTTGTACCCTGGGGTGCTGAACCTGGCAGAAAATGGCCAAGCTCTGCATCTCCCCCATCACCCCCAGCCAATCCATCTATGGGCAGCGATTTTGTAATTTCTGCTTTCAGAGAGTGAAGTGAGACATTTCAGGTGTCAGAGCCACAGAAAGCAGCTAAGCAATTGAGGATAATTAAAGGGCTCCACAAACATGCAACTTGTATTAGACAATTTCTGCAGATGTAGACCCAGAGATCTAGGCAAAAAGCAGGATCACACCCTGATTCCGAGGACGGAGGACCAACTGGATTCTTCCATTCCAGCGTCACCCTTGACAGGACAGACCAGACCACACCAAAGTAAACTTTGTCCAGTTAGGCAACATCTTAGCCACTGTAGGATGTGTTGGGGGTAAGAGCGTTTGCACAAAGACCAAAGATGGAGAGCCTGAAGATGTGACCATACCTCTGAAAGAAATGCTCCTCCTCTGGATTCAGCAGTCATGGCATGTGGGCTGAAGGGATTGTGCACTGCACATTCCTATGGCTGCTGGGGTGAGGGCTGGAAGCTTTCCCCCAGTATTACAAATGTCCCCCAAATCCGTAGAGGTGAGGATTTGTTTTGGGAAGGAGACTGGATTGCAGCAGGCGCTACACTAATCAGTGAATCATCCCACAGAGGAATCCACAACTGATCTGCTCTTGGGAGGTGGGGTCTGATGGAGAGTGGGTCACTGGGGAGGTGGCCTGGAAGGGTGTGACTCCCTCCCTCCCTCTCCCTCTGCTTCCTGTCCCCTATACTGTGAGCATCCCCGCTCTGCAAGACCCATGCTATCCTGCCTTGGAGCCAGCTGATCATGGACTGAAACCTTTGCAAACACTAAGCCGAAGCAAACCTTTCCTCCTTTGAGCTGTGGGTGTCTGGTATTGTGTGTCACTGAGGAGAAAGCGGGGAAGACAGATTTTTTTGGTACCAAGAAGTGGTATCACCCTGGCCACGTGCTTCAGGAGCCTTTGGAACTGGTTTCTGGGAAGAGTTTGGAAAGGTTTGGAGATGCAGGCATAAGAAGCATCCCCGCAATACTGTAAGATGAGTTGCTTTTATTCCTTGCTAAGTCTTAATATTTCTCATTTACCTTTTTTTGGAGAGCATGGTAATAGGAATTGAATCCCAGGTCTTTACGGTAAGCTACATTCCCACCACCCCTTTAAAAAATTTTTCTTTTCACTTTGAGACAGGGTCTTGCTAAGTTGCCCAGGCTGGCCTTGAATTTACAGTCCCCTTGCGTCAGCCTCCTGGGTAGCTGAGATGATAGGCTTGCACCACCATGATTGGCTTCATTTACTTCCTTGAGAAGAATAAATGCCATCTGTGACTAAATCAGTTAAAGAAGCACACATTCTCTCGATGATGCACTATAGCAGGATGAGGTTTTATAAATTTGCCATTAAGGCCTCTAATTTAACTTAAGAATGCCATTATAGTCACTTAATAAAGAAGCAGTTAAAAATTTAATCCCATAAATTAGAGAGAGGCTAATTAGATATTAGTAACAATTTGGGGAAAAAACAAACAAGTGTTATAGGAAGCTAACCTAGAACAACACTAACTGTGAGAGGGTGGAACCTGAAGTAGCTGATAGATGATTAACATCTCAAAAATCTGCTGTGTACAAAGCCAGGTGCATCCCTGTAATCCTAGCACTTGAGAGGCTGAAGCAGGAGGATCACCGTGAGTCCAAGGCCAGCTTCAACTATGTAGCAAAACCCTGGCTCAAAAAAAAAAAAAAAAAAATCCAACAGAAAAACTCATTACAGAAATGCTAAAGCCCATCAGCAAAGAAACACTGGTGTAAAGTTTAGAGGTCTTTCTTTGCTACCCTGGCAATGAAAAGTTTCCAGAAGAATCTTAGGTAACTGAAGAGATGACGCAGGGCCAATGCCTAGCACATCTGTTCCTTGTGTAAGGTAAAGAGAAGAAAAGACTGCTTGAGAAACAGTCTTAGTTCAGATTCTACTTGCCACGAAGTCTCCAAAACAAGCACTATTTGCAGAGGTGTGGAAGACCTGGCTCACACCTTAGAGCAGGGAAAAGGACGTGGCTCCTGGCTGGCTGTGGGCAAGGGGTCCATGAGCATGGAGGGTGTGGCTGCAGGACACAGCCCCAGGGCCCCTGGAACCAGGAGCAGGAAGCAGCTAAAGCTTTAACCAAGGATGATGCATCCCAGGGTGCACTGTGGGCAGGATGCAGGAGTCTCTAGCTGCTGCAGCATTTGGATTAATCTATATTGTGTTTCTCAACTTGAGAAGGATCTATATTTTGTAACTTTTTTTGGTACCGGCGATCGAACTCACAACCTAGCTTACCAGGCAGGCCCGTAGGCCACTGAGCTAAACCCCTAGCCCAGGACCTATATTTTGGGCAGCTTTTTTAAAAAAAATTGTATGATAAGCCCAGTGGGGTGGTACACACCTGTGATTCTAGAATTCATGAGGCTGGGCATGAGGCGGGAAGATCATTGCTAGTTTGAGGCTGGCTTAGGCTGCATAGTGAGTTCAAGGCCAACCTAGAATACAAGAGACTGTATCTCAAAAATCCCAAGAGTGTGATAATACCCAGCCACTCTAGGATAGACAGCGTTATCAGGCCTGCCCACTAAATGTCCTGGGCCAAGCCCTGCATGGTTCCCCAGGTACACTGCTGGGAACCAAGCCATGAACACCCCATGGGAACTTCTGGATTCCTGTGCTCTGTTCCCAGCAGAGGGCAAGGCCAGGGGAAAAGAGTGGAGTTTGAAAAGGGATCTAAAGCTGGGCCCAGGAATGTTGCAGGAACTTAGCAACAGACAGTGCAAGAACCCTGAGAAAACCAGCTTGGAGGTACAGGGTCAGGCAGGGAGCAAACGGGTACTGCTTCAGTAACTAAGTACATCACACCCTATGCATCCAAAGGCCCCGGAATCCAGGGTCTGTAATTGGAATTTATCAAAAAGACTGCAAGATTAAATCCTGCTTAGTGCATCAGACTTGAGAGGGTGGAAATGGATGAGGCCAACAATGCCCAAGGAATCCTCTGAAGAGGAAAGTTAAGTGCATGAATATTCTGGAGGATGAATACGTAATAAAATATTCAAAATCCAGATGCCTCCAGGCTTATAGGTCTATTATTTGCAAACCAACTTACCTCAGGGGCCTCACTGTCCCTTTCCCAGTCCATTCAGCATTCACAAGGCTCCCAGGCTGTCACCTCAATGACAAGAGTCACATTCCTGCCCTGGGCTTCCTGACTCACAGAGCTGCTGAGAAATGAGGCGGAAACTCTATGGAGAAGGCTGTAGCTCTCTTTTAGGATCCAGAAGACAGACTCGCACAGGATGGGGAGCAAGTAACTGGGAGCTGCGCCGCCCCGCCTCTGGGGCCCCAGGAACGTGGGATCCTATCTGCAGTCCAGTGCAGCCGCAGGCCAAGACCAGTGCATAAGTGAGTTAATCTGATGCATACATTAGCAAACATTTTAAAGGACTGTGCCTGCTACCTGCTATGCACTGATCATCTGACTTCCGAATTTAACAAGACAGTATGAGCCTCATTCCACATGCTGCTTTAACATCTCTTGAAAAATATTTTATTCTTTTAACGAAGTTTTAGGTTTACGGCCAAACTGAGCAGAGGTTGTAAAGGCATTCCCTACATCTCCTGTCCCCCAGAGCCTTTTTTGTGTTACCAACATCCCCCACCACACCTGTGACAAGGGCAAACCTCTCTTGATACCGTAATCCTCACCGAAGTCCACAGCTGATGTCGGAATTAACTCCGGTTGTGTACTGGGTAGGTTGGGTTGAATGAATTCAGATACACATCTACTAGTACAGTACAACACATGATAATTCACTGACCAAGAGATCCTCTGTTCCCTCTTTTCATCTGTCCTTCTCCCAAAGTCCTGGCATCTTTTCCAGTGCCCACAAAAATCCTCCAAGTTCATGACTGGAGAACTTAAATATATTCAGCTTCCAAATAATAAGCTTGGAGATTATTTCAGATTGCTTGCAATTATAAACCATACTCTGACGAAATCCCAATAGCTGGCTATTGGCTATTTGTGTATGAGTGTGACTATTTCCTGAAAGTGCCTTCTTGGGGGTAAATTTCTGGCCCACAGGATGTGCACATTTTGATGTGTTTTAAACCTTAAAAATATTTAGCTAGGTGAGGTGGCACATGCCTGTAATCCCAGCACTAGGGCCTGAGGTACAAGGGTACCCATCCTGGGTGAGTCTGAGGCAAGCCTGGGACCTTGTCTCAAAACACAAACCAGAACAAAACTTTTATTTAACCATTTCTGGTTCCATTAGGGCTGCCCTAGATCTTCCCATACTAAAAATACAATAAATAATTATAAATCAAACTAACTAGACAGAAAATGGAAATACATTTGTGTATTACCATTTAGCATATATATTTGCATATTTTTGTGATTGCTTATTTTTTGGGCCGTTCCCATTTTATCCGTGGGGTCTTGCTAAGGTTTGGATATAGTTTAAGTGCACCTCCTGATGAGCAGGAGACAGAAATTTGTGCTCTAGGAGAGGAGCTTGTGGACTTGTTCTGAGCCAGTAAGAAAAGAAGCCCTGAAGGCATTTCAAAACCCTTGGAGGCCTGGCTTCCTATCAGGGGCCCAAGAGGTCTAGAAGGCAAATTAGTTTCTGGGCTGGACACCCAGGAACGCCTCTGTGACAGGGCCTGGCAGTGTCTAGGTGGTGCTGGGGTTTGCAGGTATGCAGAACCATGAGCTAGGCGGTCACGGCAGCTTCCACCAAGACTTTTAAAAAAACTCGTAGGAAGCCGGACAGAGGCCACCGGTCCGCTGGGCAGGCTCTGCATTGGGAGAATGTCTACGGGGGTCATGGAGCACAGGGCTCTGGGGAAGGAGAGCTACCATGGTGTGAAAGGCCAGCCTGGCAAGGCTGTGGGCATCAGGCGTGGAGCCAGGGAGAGCAGCCATGTGACCTGCAAGCAGCAGTACAACTGCAGGGCGGCTGAGCCTCAAATCTCAGGGCCACCTCAGCCACACGGTGCACAGACCTGGCTGGATCTTTAGGACTTAACATTGGCCCTGCCAGATTTCAGTCTTGTTTGATTTTGCTTCCCTGTTTCTCTCTTTTGGGGTAGGGATGCTATGATGTTTCTGTCCCACCACTGTATTTTATTTACTACATTTTTTTCTTTGGAGCTGAGTCTCCTTACGTAGTTCAGGCTGGCCTCAAACTGTAAGTGATCCTCCTGCCTCAAGAGTCAGGAGCACTGGGTTCACAGGCGTGCGCCACACTGCTTGACTCCACCACTGTATTTCGGAAGTGGGTGACTGCTGGGAGCAGTGGTGCACAGGCCAAGGCAAGAGGATCACTGTGAGTTTCTTTACAAGCACAAGTATTCTTTACAAGCCTCAAGTATTTCATCATAGTAATGGAAAACTGATACTATTAAAAATCCTCCACATCACATGTGTTTTGTGTAAATACAAACAGGTTTTCTGTATTAAACAAATGAATTTATCATGTAATAAAGTTCAAATATCAAAAATAAATTGATCACATAAAGTGTACAGGTAAGTCAGAGAATCAGGACATACTGAACTACTTGCTAGTTTTTCTGTGAGTCTAGGTAGTACTTTAAATTCACTATAGTACTAGAGAAATCAAAGGAATTCCTAATAACCTAGAGATAAAACACAGACTCTCACAAGGTTGGGTGGCAAACACCTTATAATCCCAGCACTCAAGAAACTGAAGCAGGCGGATCACTGCTAGATGAAGGCCAATTTGAACTACATAGCAAGACTGCAGCTGAAAACTAAAACAAACCAAACTCCAAACACCCAAACCCAAACAAATAAACACACAAACAAACAAACAAACAAACAAAATGAAACAGAAATCTCAGGGGGCGAAAATCAGAATCTTGGGAATCCTAGAGTAAAGATTTTTTCCACCTTTTGAAAGCCATTATATATATTTTATAGAAATGCGAATACAGAGACATTTGCTGTCTTACCTGAATGTTGTCAAACTTGAGGCCTGGCATGGTGAGGTTGTCCTTGTCTACAAACACAGTGCTGTACTGTTGGGTTGCTACTGAGATAAGGACATCTCTGGTCCCCTGGCTGGGAAGCCAGGCATCATTCCTTCGGTCCATTTCACTCATGCTCAAGGCTGTGGCAAACGGGTCATCACTCCCTGCAAACACTGTTTGTATCTGTGCAAATGGTTTCGGAGACTCGGGGATTTCTAGAGAAGCTGCGGAAACCCCCAATTCTGATCTTTCCATCTGTGCAGAGTAAGACGGGTTGGCCGAATCGGGGGACATTTCTCCCACAGGTGTAGTGTGGGAAGACAGCTCTCCTGGAACTGGGGTGCCTGCATTGGGGTTACTGACAGAGATGAAGGTAGAGGTGGTGAAGGAATCAAAGAAGTCCGAGGCCAAGGAGTTGGTGTTGATCGTATCTCCAAAGAATTTACTCAGGCTGGGGCTGGGCTGGACCACCTGCGGAGGGGTCTTTGAGGATGTCTCACTTGCGCTGCTGAAGCTTGGGGACTTCACCATCTGGGACTCAAAGCCATCCTGTAGGAACAGCGGAGGCTGCGTTGGAGTTGGACTGGCCTGGCTGAAGATGGTGCACACAGGCACTGGCTCGTCTCTGGAAGAGGACTGACTGGAAGACACGTCGGATGCCTGCTTTTCCAGGGGGGCTTTTTCCTCCCTGGACACCATGTCCCCTGCGCTGGCATCATCAAAGGCAGGGAGCCCCTTAGCTTCCTCCTGGGTGGAGTCTTCTTTCAAAGACGCTCTGCTGTCTGATGTCATGTCCGACACGTCTTGGGGGGTGTCGTCTGCATCCGTTTCACTGTCGTGACTCAGAACATCCATCTCTTCTTTGCCTGCGACACCGTCCAGTCTGTGATCAGCGGTGCTTCGTAGAGGCTCCGCAACGTCCCGCAAACAGCCAAGCTCACCCCCATCGTCTTCGCTGTTATTGGGGGAGTCCGAGATAAACACGCTCTCCATCATGTGCTCGCTAAGCTTATCTGGGAGGTGGCTGGAGTCTTCTGAGATGGTCTCATTCTCCTCAGACCCAAACTCATCTCCACCAAGATCAATGGTTTCCTCGCGATACAGAAGCTGACCCTCTTCCTCTCGAGGAACCTGAGGAGCCTTGCTCTCAGCTCCTGTCCGGGGAAAGGGAGCTGTCTCGGTCACAGCCTGCTCACTACTTGTCTCCTCCTCCATGTTGCCTGAAACAAAGACAATCACAGATCCCCCTTATCAGCAGGCTATGTCAGGTAATAAGCTACTTTATCTTGCTTTTGACTTACAGAGTTATTGTTGGGCTTGCTGGTGTCTGTCATCCTAGCACTGGGGAGGCTGAGGCAGCAGGATCTCAACAAAAATGAAATGTTTTTATTGCTTACACAAATGGCTCAAAATTTGTAAACTTTGTTTTCCACTTTTAATTTAAATTGTGGCAAAATACATATAAAATTTACCCATTACTGTTTGTTTGTTTTACTTGTTTTTGAGGCAGGGTCTCACTGTGCAGCCCAGGCTGGCCTTGAACTCACTGTGTTGCCCAGGCTGGCCTCGTGATCCTCCTGCTTCAGTTTCCCAAGTGCTGAGATTACAGGTGTGCACCATCACACCATGTTTCCACTTCAGCCATTTTTAAGTGTACTGTTTACTTTTTTTTTTTTTTTTTTTGGTAGCAGGGATCAAACTCACAACCTCATACTTGCCAGGCAGGTGCTTGTGCTGCTGAGCTAAATACCCATGGTTTATATTAGTTGTTTTTAAGTGTACTGTTGAGGCATGGTAGTATATGCTCATTACTGTGCAATCAATCTGCAAGCTTTTCATTTTGCAAAACTAAATTTCTACACTCATAACTCCCCTTACAGCCATCCCCAAGCAACCACTATTCTACTTTTTATTTCTGTAAATTTCACTAGCTACCTCATATAAGTGGAATTGTACAATATTTGTCCTTCTGTAGTGTGCATATTTTATTAGCATAATGACCTCAAGGCTTATCCATGTCATAGCAATGTTAGAATGTTTCCTTTTACAGATGAATAATATTCCCTTGCAGCCAGGCACGGTGGTGCATGTCTATGATCCCAGGAGGCTCAGGCAAGAAGAGATGATTGCAAGTTCAAGGCCTGTTTCAGCTACATAGTGAATTCAAGGCCTGAACTGCAGAGTGAGACCCTGTCTCGAAAAATTAAAAATAAATATCCTGTTGTATGTGCATAGCACCTTCTGTGTATCTACTGACCTATTAATGGACATTTGAGTTGCTTCCACTTTTAACTGTTGGAAATAGTGCTGCTATGAGCATGGATGCACAACTATCTCTCTGAGATCTTGTTTTCAACTATTTTGTGTACCCAGAAGAGGAATTTCTGGACCATATGGGAACTCTAGTTTTATTTTTTTTGTAGAGATTACAAGTTTTTCACAGCAGCAAGCCATTTAACATTCCTATCGCAGATATATCTCAGTGGTTGGTGTCTGCTTGGCATGTGTAAGGTCCTGAGTTTGCTTCCTGGTACCCACAACAACAACAACAACAACAACAACAGTAACAACAACACATTCCTACTAAGGAGTATGTCACAAGTGGCCCAGTCCTTTACATTCTCACCCACACCTGCTATTTTTTTGGTTTTATTGTTCTTTAAACTGACACCCATTTTAATATGGAGTTGGGATTGTAGCTCTTAAACACTACTTTTTCTTTAAGATTCGGCTGATGTCCCTCTCTTCCATGAGGTCCTCCCCAAGTTGCTTCAACTTGCTGTCATCTCTCACCAGAGCTTATAACACTGTCTGCGATTACTGGGAACTCGAGACACTGCTAACAGCACGCACAAAAGTGACACAGTAAGAACAGCAGCGAACCAGGTGACACTTCGGGCACCTCCTTTGTGCCTGGTCATGTAGTATAGGTGCATCGACACCTGGTCCTGAGCTACAGCTGCTAGGATGCTCCTCAAGGGTACAGGTCGAGGTATGCACCTTGAGATCAAACCACACAGCGGGCTTAGCGAACGCGCTGGGATCAGCTAAGGCCAACTGCTAGCCAGCCCTGGCGAAGGAGGGCACAGAAGGCGACAGAGACAGGACTGAAAAAGACCCGGCGTCTACGGAAAGGGCCCCGGTTGGCGGCTCCAGGATGGCACTACCCAACCCCTCCTGACAACCGCAACGCTGAGCCTCACCTGCCACCCGCCCCTGAGACTGGGGAAAAGGTCACCTGCGACTGTGACCCGCGTCCTGGAGACAGCTGACAGCCCGGAAGTAGGAAAGAGCATCCGGCACGCCCCTCTCGCGGCTGGTGCGCCTGCGCGTGCCGGTCTTCAGCGCGTACCCCAATGAGGAGCTAGAGGCCGGGTGCGCGGAGCTTTTCCGGTTCCCCTGCGGTGGACAAGGGCGGGGAGGCCGGGTTCTAGGGAGGCGGAGGAAAGGAATCATCTGCCCTGAAATGTTTTGACACTTAGGCTATTAGCAATCTGTGGCAAGGCAGACAGATGGAAGGAAACAGTATTTGGCCAACGGTCTGTAGAAATACTAATTTTCAAGAATATTTCTTTGTACTATTGTTTTCTGCGTTTCCCACCATGCATCTGCAGTATTATGTAGTCACCCTGATGACAAAGATGATATGAGGGTTGTGGATAGACTTAATCCACGAGTATAAAGACCTTTCAGTCTCTTACCTCTGCAAATTTATGTCAAAAGTTGAATAGGAGTCTGGTTTCTAGGGCTTTGCTTCCGTGACTTGTCATGCAATCTCAGAGTTCTCATTTACTCAGCAAATGTTCATTGAACCTTAGCTCTAAGCTCTGCTTGGCATTGGGCACTGAATATAACTAAGGAAAAGAGTCCCAACCATATCAGTCATGAAGGGGTAAAGATAGGGAGGTGCCTGGCTTTAGAATCCTGGTGGAACCACGCCAGTGAAGGGGTTTCTGCTATGAATTGTGTTGTTGCCAGGTAGCATGGGCCTTTTTATTTTTTAAATAAGTATGGACCACAGTTTATTTTTTAAAATTTTTTGACCACAATTTATTTTAATTTTTATTTATATATTGGGAGTCAAACTAGAATCTTGTGCTTGCCAGGCAGGTGCTGTGCCACAGAGCTATATCCCTGACCCGGGTCTTTGTTTTTAGTAATAATGGGAATTAAAGCACAAATTTATAGGAAAAAGCTTTAATTAAAAAGTAAAATAAAATGCCAAAATGTTTTGTTAGCTTGTGTTGACAAAGCTCAGGTTGGCCCTCAAAGGTAAGTAGAAAGACTCCAGTTGGGCAGCTGGAGGGCATGCAGTCTGATGAAGGGAATCTGCAAAGACAGGAGGCTAGCTACGGGTTAGCTGCTGGGCTGGAGTCTGGTTGATCTTTACTCAGTCCTGATATTCTAACCAAGTAGTTCCTTTCTCATGAAATGATTATTTATTGTAGGTGGTTTCATCCATTTGAAGTTTTCTGCTTTTCCTGGAGTCCAGGTGATCAGAGGTTTAAGACAGTAGTTGAAGACTTCTGCAGTATTTGGAAGTCGTTATAAATTCTTTATTTTGGTGTCTTCAGTCTTAAAGAGCACTAAATTCAAGGCTAATCAATCTGTTTTGGTAACTTTTACATAGACCCTCTCTAAATATTTAACATACCTACCTGTGCAGGCCTGAGAAGGGATTTGACTCCAGGATACACATTAACGAACGTTACAAAATGAAGGTCAGGTTTTGTTCTACTTGAATTATGCTTTGGACATTTATAGCCCGAAGTGAAGAGTCAAGGTTTTTAGCAGAATCAATTTTAAGGCCTTGATCGCCTTACGAGAAAATACAAATAAAGCCTTTGATGATAGCAGGCTATCATACATCTAAGATTCCTCTTGCTTCCCTGTCTATGGTGGTCTTTATGGCCTGTGTCCCAGTGCCACTAACTAAAACAGGGCGGGCACTCTGGGAGCGCTGCCTGAGGGGCGACTTTTAGCTGAAATCTTTAGGCCTTAAGTAGTCTGTGGTCACTGGTGGTTTTCCCAGCCACAGCGAGACTCAGGATGTAATTACATCTATAAAATGGAAGTACAAAGGTTGTGCATACCGGCAGAACAAAGATTGATGATAGTAACTGCAATGACCCATTGCCGGCCCTTCTTTCCACGTGTGAGGTGCAGAAAAGACTGCAAAGAGCAGTAATTTGCACCGCGCCTCAGAACACCTCCTCGCACTCGAACCTAGAACCCTAGCGCCGCTTCCCGCCCGTTCTCTCCGTATTTCCTTCTATCGGAACTCTCCTGCTTAGGAGCCGCCATAGTTAAAAGAGCCTGGATGAAAGCCTGAGTAGGCATGCGCCTGAGCCGCGCGCTGTTGTCATTGGCCTCTCATAAGGAGCACACTGATGACGCTAACAAAAACAGGAAGTAAGTCCTACGGAAGTTGGCCTGGGCCAAAAAGAGTGAACTGAGAGTCTGTGGCCGCGCGAAGGCAAAGAATGGACTCTGTGATTGCGCCCACCAAGTGGGACGCGCAGGCTCTAGAGAGTATCTGAGCGTCCGAGCTGCAGGCGGATAACTTTCCGCAGCATGGAGGATGATGCACCGGTGATCTACGGTCTGGAGTTCCAGGTGGGCTGCGAGAGGGCGGCAGATGTGCCCATCCTGCTCCCTGACGGCACGCGGGGTCTCACGAGGGCTTGCGGTGCTCGAGATCTCTGGGTGCCTGATCTTGGCGGGTGAGACTGAGGCTTCCGGTGCGATTTGGGTGCAGGGTGGGGCGCACAAGACCTGGGGGCGGTCCTGGGCTCAGCAGGTGGGCAGGGCAGTCCCTTCCTCCTGCCACCTGACCTAGGCCTCTTCCTTTGGGACAATGGGGTGTGGCAGTTCGGGTCTGTCTCTGAGATTTGGAGTTCCCGAAGACAGCAACTGGGCCTGGTTTTTAAAAGTTCAAAGTTGACTACGCCTATATCTCAGCACTTGGAGGCTGAGGCAGGAGGATCACCATGCTTTTGAAGCCAACGTGGGTTACATAATGAATTCAAGGCTAGCCTGAATGAAAAGCGAGACTCCCTCTCAGACAACAAGCAAACACACAAAAGTTTATTGTTGAAAAGTTTTATATACACCGAAGATGTGTGGAGAACCATTGAAAGTTCCTTATTAAGTTTCTTCATTTTTCTCTTTGAAATAAAATGAACTTGAAAAAAAGGAAAAGAAAAAGAAAAAACAAAACAAAACAAAAAAAATTCTTTCCTTAAGTTATCCTAAACCAGTAACTTACATAACCACGGTATATTATCCAAGCTTCGAGATTATCATGGGTCACACCTGCAGGCTGGATGTCCCAACCGGCAGTTACTGGGCACTGACCTGTGTGTGCGACTCCACCACAGCAGGGACCAGCTTTGTGTGGATAGGAAAGTGCTAAGCAGATGAGTATTTGGTGATAAATTCTTAAGAGCCAGATGAGTTCATCCTAAGGAAGGTTTTTGTAACCACTGGGATTACTTGTAAATGGGGTGGACAGCACCAGACTTGACAGGTGCTTAGGATGGAAATCAGCTGGGCATGAGGGCACACGCATTTATTGAGCCACACCTGTGTGCAGGTCACTGTGTGTGGTCCAGACAGACACCGACTCCTCTTGTGTTCTGGACAGAGGAAAGGAGTAGTTAAGAGGAGGGAAGAGGAGCTAGGCGTGATGGCGCACTTCTGTAATCCCAGCACTCAGGACACTGAGGCAGGAGGATCCTTGCAAATTTGAGACCAGTCTGGGCTGCAAAGTGAGCTCAAGGCCAGCCTAAACTGCATAACAGACCCTGTCTCAAAAAAAAAAAAAAAAAAAAAAAAAGCAAAGGAGGGATGGGGGAGGAGTGGCGTCAAGAAGGTCTACACTGAGGAGTGAGACACAAACCTGGTTCCACTGTGCTTTTTCAGGTGTGTTTCAGATTTGTTTATAAAAATGCTTTCCTGCTTTTTTTACAAGTGTTTTCTTGTGTGAGGTTGAACAAGATGGTTCTGGATTTAAGTGCTTTTCTACGGCTGTGTCAGCTTCCTCTCTCTGAAGTCCGTTAGTGTATGGAGACCTTTTTCGTACTGGTTGCTTGGCCTGACTCCTTCCAGGAACTTGAATGCCTGTTCACTGTCATCAGCCTTCCCGAAATGCTGCTCTCTCTCAGGGTAGCCACTGGCTCAGTTTGCTTATTTTTGGTTTTCTTTTATTGTACAGCAGTAGCACTCATTTAATCTTGCCTCCTGCCTAAAGTGGAGCTGGAGAGTGAATATGGAGAAATGTTAACCGACCACTGTGGTCTCGCCAGCATTTTTGATGCTTAATCATGGACTAGGCGATTTGTCTTCTCTTGTCTTATGAAAGTTTACATTTCTCCTTCCCTTTTGTTTTTTGTTTTTTTTTTTTTTTGGTCCTGGAAATTGAACTCAGGACCTTAGACTTGTTAGACAGGATCTTGTGCCACTGAGCTATATCTCCGCCCTCTTTTCCTTTTTTTTTTATGAGACAAGGTCTTGTTCTGTAGTTCAGGCTGACCTTGAACTCACTATGGAGCCCAGGCTGGGCTTGAACTAACAGCAGTCCTCTTGCCTCAGCCTCCCCAGTGCTGGGTCACAGGTACGTGCCACTGTGTCCGGCTTCTTTGTGGTTTTTTCCCTATCTGGTTCAGGCTGGCCTTGAGTTTGTGGTGGTCCTCCTGTCTCAGCCTCCTGAGTGCTGGGATTATAGGCAGGCATCATCACAGCTGGCTGAGCTTCTACATTTCTTCAGGGCAGGGATTGTGCCTCCTGCTTCCTGGGCACCCTCACGGCCACTTCCATGCTGCTACAGCCTGTGTGTGGCAGGCAGTCAGCTTTTTGTCAATGACTTGAAGGGTAGCAAAGTCTTTTAGTGTAAAATAATCATTCTCTTTCAGAGGGCTTCTCTCCCAGGTCCTGTTTTTGTTGCCTTTTGTGCTTGTATCCTGTGGAGTGATGGCACACATGTCCCTGAATCTGGAGCTCTTTGTTTTCTTGTCTGGAATGGGGAGCTGTCCGCAGCCTTTTCTCTACCACTTGGGTTCCAGCTCTTGGAGCAGTCTGGGCGTTGTCCCTCAGGGCAGCCTCTCTTTTCCTTACTGGTGTCACTTCTTCCTAAGCCAGATGTTTAAATCAGAATGTTGCCAATATCACGGCCCCCTGTTGTTCCTCAGTCTAAGCACAGGTTTGGTAGAAGGCACCCAGATTCACAGGGGCCTCGTCAGTTTTGCAGCCTTGAAGTTGCAAATGCTGCTCAGCTGCTCATGTGGGTCTGCCAGAGTGGTGGCTGTGGGGCCCTGGGATGCCTTGAAGGACTGAAGCTTCTCCCAAAGCTGTAGCTAGTCGGCATATACTAAGTGGCTTGGGATAACACAATTTGGATAACACAATTTCACAGTTCTCTCAGTCCAGGGCCCCACTTGGGCGAATCTGTGTCCTGGCTCTTTCCACCTTTCCAGCTTGCGTGAGCTGTCCTTGTTCCTGGCCCACAGCTCCTTCAGTCCATCTTCAGAGCCAGCCATGGCTGCCTGAGTCTTTCTTCTCCTGTCTCCTTCAATTCGCTGTCTTGTCATTTCCTCTCCAGCTGCAGTCAGGAAGTGTTTTTGATTTCAAGGATCCATGGGATTAAAAAATCCAGGTAGTCAATCTCTTCATCTCAAGCACCTTACTGTGGTGGCACCTGCACAGACCTCTTACCATGGATGTGATTCATAGGTTCCAGAGTCAAGGACATAGAGTTTTAGTGGGCTGTTGTTGTGCCTATCACAGGGCACATGGGGACTTGACGTGGGTCCAGTTAATGGTTGTACTAAGGGACGCTGAGTTTTTTTTTTTTTAAATGGAAGAAAGTTTTACTTTAGCTCACAGTTTGCAGAGGTATCAGTCTATAGTCAGCTGGCTCCAAGGCAGGGCAGCATGACAGAGAGTCATCACCAAAGAGGAGCAGGTTATGGGCAGGAAGCAGCAAGCTTCCCTTTCTCTTTTTTATTATTTACAAGCTCCAAGCACTGTTTTAACCTCCAGGATCTAGTTGTATCATTTGTCCTTCTTGAAGCCTTAGAATCATCACCTGGAATTCTTTTTTCTTTTTTATTGGTACTGGGGATCGAACTCATGACTGCCTGCTCGCAAGGCAGGTGCTTATGCTGCTGAGCTAAATCCCCAGCCCTTATCACCTGGAATTCTTAACTTGTTTTTTCTTAACGATTGAATGTGTTAAGGATAGATACTGCCAACATTGGATGGTCAGGGAATCCAGCAGGTTCTGAAATTACTAGTGGGTGACAGGTCTCAGATAGGTCTTGCTCCAAGAATTACCCTCAGCCACGCGGACTTACTTTGCCCAAAGTTACTCTCTCTCTCCAGGGACACTTTGCATCAAGTCACTGACCCACGAGGGTGGTTGGTGGGTGGCACAAACACCTAGCCATCCTGCCTCAATTTTGATGGCTCATCCAGCCCCAGAACCCCACTGAAGCTTCTGCTGCAGTTGTTATGTAGTCTGAATTCTCCTTCTGCCTGGTCCTGCTTCTTCACTCTCACATGGAGCAAACTCCTGAACATGTAGCTTAGAGTTTGAGAACTTGTGTTCCAGGGAACATGGTCTTTGAACTCCTCTGAGGGGCTCTTTCTGTTGTTTCTTCTGGTTTTTGTCCCTATGGTTTTGTCTTACTGTATGACTGGTCGTTTTTGATTGAACATTAGATTGCATTTGAAAACTTTGGAAACTCTGAATGTTACCTTTTTTCAGAGGACTTAGTGCTTCTGTCAGGTGGGTTCCTAGCTTAGGAGCAGGGTTGAGGAGATTTAGAGCTTTAGTCTGTGTCGCTACCTTACTTCTAGTCTGCCTTCCCTTTTAGGCTGTAGCCCTACTAATTGAGCACTCTCTCTGTACTTTATTGTTTGTGTGCGAAGCCCCATGAGTCTGTCAAAGCTCTCCTTGGCATCAGCCTTTTATCAGACCTCCCCCTGGACGGATGCCTCTAGGTGAAGGCTAGTCAGGTCTTGGTCTTCCTTTCAGCCTGCCTTCTTCCCCTCCTAGCTGTCTGGAGCCTTGAGAAAGAGTCACAGTATTATCCCCTTTTGTTTTTAGCTATGTACTTCAAGGAAGGTTTTTTAAATTTAATCCACCTATGCTGCTATTACTGGGAACTGTTTTCTGCCATATTGTTTTGTCGCAGCATAATTTATCTAACCAATCTTTTACTATTGAAATAATGGTTTTATTTAAAAATACACTATTGTGGTATGAGTAACTTGTCTTTATAGCACAATGTGTGTGCCCATTTACAGTGATGGTCTCTGCAGCTTCGGAGCAGGATTATGTTAGAAGCGTCCAGTCACCTCAGCCACGGACTGACCCTTGGTCAGCGGTTGCTGAGCTGTGCTGCCCTCTCAGCCTCTTTATAAACCACTGTGTGCATTTTCCTTCCCTCCCGCAGGCCCGGGCTCTCACCCCTCAGACTGCAGAAACAGATGCCATCCGGTTTTTGGTTGGGACGCAGTCTCTTAAATATGATAATCAGGTAACTATTTTTGACAAATGTATACATGTTAATTGCTAAGCTTATTCTTAGTTTTATCACCATTTTGCTCTTGACTTTCCAGGCAACATTTGAAAGGAAAAATTAATGTTGTACAAACAAACTTCAGCTCTCTATGGATTTAAATACATCTTATCCAGCTCTGTGGAATGAGTGAGTGCAGTAATTGAGATGTACTTTGCTTAGCTTTGTTCTGAGTTCTGCGGTGGTTTTGGGGTCACTGAGTTTCCTTGTGTAAGTGACTGAGGCTCAGTGGGGACTGGGGGCTGGTGGGTCACTCTGTGGCTGTTCCTGATACCCTATCCTGCCAAGCCTGGACTGAGTCACTGTCTTGGCTTTGCATGGAGTTCTGGCTGCCTCTGCCAGTTGTCCAGGAGGTGGTCATTTGCCACGCTGGTCACTGTAGTGGACACTCACCAAATCTGAACTCAGTTCAGGATCCAGGCCTGGCACTGACTGTATGACCTCGAGTAAGTGGATTGGCCTTGCTGGGCTTCACTTTCATCAGCATTAAAATGGCAATGAACACTGCTCTGTGCTCCTCCCAGAGAGATCATGGATGCTACAGGGCTGTGCATTATCTATGCCATGTCAAAAAATAGTACAGGAGCCAGGCATGGTGGCACACACCTGTAATCTTAGCACTTGGGAGGCTGAGGCAGGAGGATTGTTGTGAGTTCAAGACTAGCCTGGGCTACAAAGTGAGCTCAAGGCCAGCCTGAACTGCATAGAGAGACCCTGTTTCAAAAAGACAAAAAAAAAAAAAAAAAAAAGACCAGGTCAGACTGCACAGCTGCATAGCAAAACCAAGTCACTCAAAAAAAAAAAAAAAAAAAAATCCAAAGATATTAAAAAAAAAAAAAAAAGGGCTGATGGCCAAGCGTGATGGTGCATACATGTGACCACAGTACCTGGGAGGCTGAAGCAGGAGGTTCACTGTGAGTTCGAGGCTGGCCTGGGCTACATAGCTAGATCCTGTGTCAAAAAAATTAATAAATAAAAGGGCTGGGATTGCAGTCCAGTATGAAGGCCCTGGCTCCAGTCCATGGCTAACCTTGCAGCTATCTTTTTCTATCATAATTAAAGGGCAGTTTTCCTTTTTCTTCCTGCACTTCAGTGTGGTTTGAACATGAACCCAAATAACCAGTAGGAAAGTGTGTTTTTGACATATTGGTTGTGCCTTTCTGCTTCTGGGGAAGGTGTATACCTTTGTTGAGACTGATGTATTCATTCATTCAAGAAATACTGATTTTATCTATTAATAAAACTCCCCAGTTGTTTTTTTTTTTTTTTTTTTTTTTTGGTCTTTTTCCTTTTTATTAGTATCGGGGATCAAACTCACGACTGCCTGCTTCCAAGGCAGGCACTTATGCCGCTGAGCTAAACCTCCAGCCCCAAGTTGTTTTTTTTTTCTGTGCTATGTGCACAAAAATCCACAGATATGTGTGTCCTGAGTTGTGTGTCCAATGGAAGGATGAAATCCACATGTGGATGGTGAGAGCAAGGCTTTTGTACCCCATGGGAGAGCAGACTGCTGGGGCTCAGCCAAAGATGAGGGGCGGGGATCTAGATTAGAGGTCTTTTATTGGCTGCTGTATGGATTTTCCCCCCAGGTTTTTGTTGTAATTTGGTAACCCCCTATTTGTTATGTAGGTGACTCATAAGTCTTGCTTGTCCTCACAGCTCTGGTATTTAGATCCCGATCCTGGGAAACCTGCTGCTGACGCATCACTGATGGGTTCTTTGGCCCAATTCAGATAGAAATTACAAGTAGGCAAAGTGCAGCGTGCTTAGTGTTAGCAGATTCTTGGGCCTTGAATTCCAAGCTCTCAGCCCTAGCTTTAGCAGCTTTCCCGGCAGCAGGAGCTGGCTGCTCCTGGGAACTCTCTGGAGCTTTGGCAGCAGCCAGCACTAGCAGCTCCCGGCACTCCTCTGCTCCCTGCTGTCCTCCTTTAGTGTCACCACCTCTCAGTGTGTCTAGCTCAGCCTGTTCTAGAGGCTTCATTGCAGTTGGCGGGTGCGGCACATGGGAGAGGGGATAACCTGGCCCGGACTGGTGAGCGTGAGGAGTGCCGCTTACGTAGAGAAGCCTGTGCACAGGCGCTGTCTCCTGCCTGCTACCTGTGCCTTCTGCTCTGGCCTGCTGTCCTGTGCAGGTGAAGAGGGCTGATGTGCCCTGGCTGTCATGGGGAGGGCCTCTTTGGGGACCAGAATAGGGATATCTGAGGTGGCTACAGGGAGTGCAGTCATCCAGAGAGGCTGCAGGGCATTGGGCACTTCTTTCTTTCCTAGGGTACCTTTTCTCAGTTTTTCAGCCTTAGCTGCTTGGTTCCATGCTTGTGTACTGACTAGCAATAGCTTTGATCCTGTGTCCCTGATGCCTGGAGGTCCTTGACCACTGTTGGAACCTCCTGGATGCTTTATAAAAATGCAGCTTCCTGGACCCACTCTGGCCTGAGTGTGTTTTTCCCACTTCTGTCCATGTCTCTCCTTCCTCTTCCTGTTCCTTCTCTTCTGCTGTCCTCTCCGGCCTGTTTGTCCTTGAAGAGGAAGGGGACATTGTGGCCCTGGTCGCTGAAGCATTGAGGGAAGCCTGGTTCCTGGTGGGGCTAGTCCAGGTGCCTCACTGCCCTCTTTCTATGTCCTTCTCCCTTCAGGGTGAGCTCTGCCTGCGGGCCTCTTGTGGTTGGGATGATCTGCTGGTCTGCTGTACCTGGAGACCCTTTCACAGGTTCTTTTCAGCTCTCAAGTTGATCTGAGAGTTGATGACCACTTGCCCTCTGGTCTCCCCTCCCTTTAAAGCCCTTCCTTTCTGGAGAAACTGGCGTAACTCACAGGCCTACTGGCATCCTGACAGCGTTTTTCTAGGCTGTGCTTTCCAGGCTCCAGGTCCTAAATCCACCCTGGTTGCAGAATTTCATGGCAGTATGGGGCAATGGGAGAGGCTGCCCATGAATCTGCTGTAAAACTGCAAATGTGAAAAGACCCGGAGAGTTGCTGTGCTTGGAAGGGAAGACTCAGGGTGTTCCCAGGGTGCACGATGTTAGCAGAGTTGTGTTCCTGTGATCTGGCGACGCCTGTGCTTCACAGGTGAAAGGAGTCTGAAGGAGGAAAGGGGCTGCACTGGAAGCCATGGCTTACTCCTTCACAGGAGAGGGCAGAGCTCTATAGAGGAGTGTGAGGTCCACGGGCTGCGGGGAGGTGGGGCTGAACCCCCCCCACCATGGGAGGGGTGGTCCTCTGAGTGACAGGACTCAGTGGGGACAGAGCCAGCAGGTGCAGCCAGGCTCCCCCAGGCAGCCCTGCGGGGGCTGCTGCATTGCAGAGGGGGCGTGGTAGAACAGTAGATTTAAGTGCATTTTCCCCTAGTGTTAATGGATTTCTGATAAGCAGGAAATGTGTCAAACACTGAAGGAAAAACTTCCCCAGCGACATGAAAATTATTTATGATTTCATACGTTACCTTTTAGACTATGGCCGCATGTAACGGTTTTATATACTTGAATGCCTTTTTATCCCTGCTTTTACAAAGGAATACTTTCATAACATTTTTGGTATACAGAATCACAATTTTTAAAGCCACATAATATTTTAGAAATTATATTTTTGGATTATTGTTTGGGGCAGATTTGAAATAAAATTGCTCTTTCAATTCTGCCATTTATATAGCTCTATTTACATATTAAAATGAACCTCTTAACGGTGTTATATGTATAGAACATGTACCACTGTTACTATAGCTTTCCTGGTATTGGTGGTCACCACCAATTAGCTACATACAGTTGGCTAATTAAGTATTAATTGGTATAGTGAAATTCTTATTTTTAAGTATTTAAGTCGTGGTTCGTAATAAAGAGTGATTTCCCTTCTGGTACTTGCATCCATGCCAGTCAATCTCCATCTCCAGGGTGCTGTAGTGTACCCAGAGTGTACAGCAGGATGCAGGCTTACACACTCACACATGTACATGCACACACCCGCGATGCACACTCCTCGGTAACACTAGCACCCTTGACCCCACTGGGCGTGGCCTCTGTGCCCCAGGTCTCTGTCACCTGTGATCAAATCAGTGATCCCCTAATGGTCATTGAATGATCAGTTCCCCTTCGTGGGTTTTTAACCCTGGAGGGTGCACTGTGTGCTCACTCAGACTCGCTTGGCGTTCTCCAGGGCTTGGGAGTACTGTGTGTGTCTCTGGAGTTCATTAGGAAAATTTCCATACGTGCCGCTCACAACCCCCTGGGCTCTATGGGCAGAGTTCTTTTTAACAGTTTTGAATATTTTATTTTACACAGATATGTTTGGTTTTTTTCCCTTTTTTTTTATTTTAAAGAGAAAAAGAACTGAAAAATCAAGAAGCAAACAAATCAAAGAAACACAGCAAAAACCAAATGACAATAACAAAAGAACAACAATAGCTATACAGGATTTCAAAACAAGGTGATAGGAATTTAACAATGGTTGTTACATTGCACATTGTTATCTCCAAATAGTCGCTCAGGTTACCACATCCAGGAATAAAACAAAACAGTTAAATGGAACAAAACATTGGATTTCAAAAACAAGACAGAAGGCGATCCCCCACAGCTGCTATAATGCATAATTACTCTCCAAATAGATGCCCAGACTACCAGCTTTAGGCCTGCAAAATCTGTCGAACAATACAGGCATTAAGTTATTTATTTTTTACTTGCGTTGCTATCATCTCAGCCTGACTTCCTCTAAATCAGCCCATTTCTTATGGGGTTTAAGGGGGTCAAGTGGTGATTGCTCTTCCTGTCTCCCAGCCCACGCACTACCTGGCTCATGGGAGGATGTGGTTTGTCTTCTTGATTCTCTTCCCTTTCCTGCTCTGAAGATTTTAAAAGTAACAGTGGTGATGTTAGTGTTCCCCATAGACGGTGGGACAGCAGCCCCCCCACCCCCAGGCTTCTGTTCAAGTCAGGCTAGATGCTGTCACTTCCGGCCTCCTGGTGTTCCCATGTGGCTACCGGCCTCTTCCCTGCAGGTGGGGTGGTAGTTGCAAGGGTTCTTAAGGCTGAGGCAGGTTTGAATTCTACATGGGTGGTGCAGAGAGCCCCCTATTGAGCACAGGGTGCTTTTTTTTCTTGTCTTTTTGAGATAGGATCTCACCGTGCAGTTCAGGCTGGCCTTGAACTCACTTGAACTTGAAGCTATCCTTAAACTCTTAACATTCCTCCTGCCTCAGCCTCCTGAGTGCTAGATTACAGACCTGCACAACCACATCTGGCCTGAGCAGGGTGTTTTGCATGAAAGGGCTGCATGCCAGGGAACAGTGTACCCTGCACAGGAGGCTACTGGGTATCAGGGAAATGTTTTAAAAATACTACTTAACATTTGTTTTAATTACAAAAGCAATGTGTATTATTCATGAAAAGATGTGAAAATGCAAAGCCAGCATCATTGTCCCCCCCTGCAGGACACTCACTCCCCTCACCCTGTAGTCTAGGGTGACCACTGCTCTGCGGCACAGCTGCATTCTCCACAGAGGTCTCCCTGGTCAGCAGCAGTCACTGAGCAGCTCAGGTTTGACCACTTCTCCCCTGCAGTGAGTCCCCACTCGGGGAGTTGGCACCACTCACCACTTCCTCCTTCTTTATGGAAGTTTCTCGCCTTGGTCTCCCCAAGGGCCTTAATTCTCACTTCAGATCCCAGGGCACCCACTTTCTTTCTTCCCTTCCTCACATTGCTGTGTTCCAGCGTCTGGACACCAAATCTCAGGGAGGCTGTTTCTCTGTTGCTCACCACTTCACTGTCTTCCCAGAAATCAGATTTTTTTTTTTTGTCTTTTTGAGACAGGGTTTCACTGTGCAGTTCAGGCTAGCCTTCAATTCACAATGCAGCCCAGGCTGGCCTCGAACTTGGGATGAACCTCCTGCCTCAGCCTCCCGAGTGCTGAGATTACAGGTGTGCACCACTACTCCCAGTTTTAAATTTATTTTTTTAAACGATGCTGTGCTGTCATTTGTTTGAGTATCGATAAGAGGATAATTTTTTCTCTAAAAATTACTCAGAAAAGCATGGAAATAGCATATTTCACCTTTTTATTTAGGGTCCTTCCTTTAACACTGGTGTAAGTAATACTATAAGATCAGAGGTACTGACTGCCTTGTTTTAAAAAAGAAGTGAAGGATGTGCTAACGTGCAGCCCTTTCTCACCTTAATCATGTCTCACGTGACTTGAGTTTTGCCTCCCATGGAGTGGCCAAGCACTGTCCAGAACCCGCTGGGCTCTGTCCTTGTGGTTGCTTCCAGACCACGCCGGGCAGCTGTTCCCTGCCCCTGCTGTCACCCCACTGCCATGTACATTTCCACGTTACTGATTTGCACAAACCTCCCTGGCCCTGCAGCCATGAAACAGAAACAGCTCGGAGAAACCTGGGGACAGAGCTCATAGTGGTTTATTTTTTGTAAGATGGGAGGGCCAGAGGGTCGAGTTACATAGCTCACAGGGGTACAGGAAGTTAACGTCTTTGACTTCGGAGAGGTGAGCAGTAAGAATTAAACTGCAGAAGGCAACACTGTCCATATGGTAAGATAAACATTCATCCGAGCTGTATCTGTCATGAATTGTGCATTTGGTGATTCTCGTGATCAGAATGTTTGAGACCCTAATGCACCCTTTTCTTGCATTTGTAGATCCACATCATAGATTTTGACGATGAAAACAACATCATCAATAAAAACGTCCTCCTCCACCAGGCAGGTGAGATCTGGCACATTAGCGCCAGCCCTGCAGACAAAGGGGTGCTGGCCACCTGCTACAACAGAAGTAAGTGTGGCCTTCTGTTGGGTGTTTGGGCAGCTATGGTGTTGCACGCGGTTGGTTTTATGCCAAGAATGCCCGAGTGTGGGATGTGTGAGCCTTGACCCCCAGCGAAGGGGCTGTCGCTCAGGGACTGTCGCTCAAGGACTGCAGTTTGTAGAGTCCCCTCCTGCACGTGCTGCCCCCATCATGGCCCTTCTGCTGCCTCAGTCTGAGCAGCTGCCCCCCCACCTCCGAAGGGGGTGGAAGCCTTCAGTGCTTAGAGAGGACCCCAAGTTTCTGAGTGAGACTAGAAGTGGCCTTGTCTAGAAAAGTGGCGCTGACTTTTGGACAGATCTTTGTTGCAATGGATGCAGGTTGGCTCACCTCCGTCCTCTTCCAAAACACCACCTGCAGTACCCTGTGTCCTCGTCTCCAGGAGCCCTTTCATCTCTGCCACATGCAGCTGGTCAGAAGCTGCCCACATGTCTTGCCAGCACTCAGGAGGAAGGGTCCCCGGAGGGCAAGTGTCCCTGTGTGCAGGGCTAGTCTATGTCCCCAGGGCCCATAGTGCGCACCTGCTCAGTGTCCGCAGGGTCGATGTTGCACCATCAAAGTGGGTGCAGAATGGGCTCTGGTATCTCCGTTGTTGGCACTGTTCCTCTCTGTACCCAAGGCTACTTCCAGCGGTGACTAGGCACAGGATAGCAGCTGTGACGTTCTAAAAGCAGGATGGAAAGAAGCGAACCCTAGGCATCCAGTGGGACATTGTGTCCCACTGGGTCTTGGACAGACCCATCCCTGTGTGCTCCCTCCTCCCTCCCCGAGGGGACTCTGGGACTCGTGCTGTCTGCCCTCTGTCTCCCTGGGCCCAGCTGATGGAGGCTTCAGGCAGATTTCTGCAGAGCCTTATGGTCCACGGTGGATGTTGTGGGCACTCGCTCGTGGACAGACCAGCCACAGGGCTGTGTGTGGCAAGGGTGAGCTGCACAGGTGAAGGGGACAGAGTGAGGGTGAAGTGTGAGGCCCCCCTGCCTTCTCCAGGCAGCTGCATGGCCAGCCTCGACCTCCCTGGGGTCTTTCCTGACTGTCACCTCTTCACTGCAGCCTCTTCTGTCTCTCCAAGCCCCGGTTCCCCGAGTTGTTCCTTCTCCTTAACAGCGCCCCCCTGTGCTTCCTCTCCTCTGTTCCTGGGAGACCCTCGGGTAACCAGCTTCCCCCAAGTTCCCCTGTGCCTTTGGCCACATGGAAGCGCTTCTTCTGGGCCCAGAGCTTCATTCCCATGCTCGAGATCTATGAAGAGTGTTCAGGGCGCTCTGCTTTCTCCATTCACTTGCCTTGTCTTTTTATACCAGTGTCTTCAAAACTCTTCCTTCCCCACTGCATTTTCCTCCCTTCTGGAAGTTTGTCTCACTGGCATTCACTTCTGCAGCTTCGAGGGCCACATGAGAAGTTGGCACAAGCCCAGCACCTTTGTTGAGCCCACTGCTGTGCTCCTGGTCTCCAGGGTGAGGCATTAGTGCCTCTGATGTGGGTCCTGTCTGGGTCTCAAGGCCGCCATGCAGGTGTCCTGCTGGCTGCATTGCCCTCTGGGTCCGGGGTCTTGTTCCTGAGGTCGGGGACCAAGTGCCTGTGTCCTGTATGCTGTCCGTGGGGGACCCTCCCAGCGCTCCGGATGGCGAGTGGGTATTGGCTTGAGTGGTGAAGTTGTGATAGAAAATGAGCATGACCACTGTCCCTTTTGTCCCCCTGTCCATGGCTGCAGTGGATTCTCCTGTCCCCTACCCCAAGTCCCTGAATCTTAAGTCAGGGTTTCTAGAGACCGACTTTCTCCACCGGCCTTTGGTGGCGACGTGGCTAGTCTGGTCACAGTCTCCCTCCCCATCATCCTCTCTGGGAAGAAAAGCAGAGCTGCTCCACCGCACTGGGCACCGGCGCCAGCGGTCTGCTTAGTTTCTGCTGCAGGGTGGAGCTGAGGGGTCACAGCTCGCAGGGGTGGCTGTTTCCAGTGTGGAGTGCGGAGTTCCTTCCCCTTCCGGCCCTGGCCAGCAGGCAGCTTCCTGGGTTGGGCTTCATCTCTGCTCTGTGAAGCCATGCGTGGCATCCTGCTGGTCTACCTGGATGACCGGGAGTGGCAGTCACTGCCTGGGGCCTCAGTGCCAAGCTCTTCCACTCGGAGGCTTTCCAGACAGGCTTGGGATCGAGGATCCAAGCTTCTGTGCTGTGTGCACCTGAGCATGAGACACATGTGTGAGACCAGATGAGCATCGTGTGGGGACCCTTGCGCTATTTTCTATATTCATCTTGGTTGTAGATCTCGAGGCTTCCATGCTACTGTGCGTTACATACAGATTTGGACCAGAAGCACCACGGGCTGGAATGAAAATACCTTGCTTGAGTTGTCGCCTCCTCTTAGAGATCTTTTTGTAAGGAGCAGCTGTGCTTTACCCGCCATTTTCCAGCAGCTTTTTGTTTTTTCAGTTTTTGTTTTTTTATGGCCCATGTTTGCAGTGCATCGTGATCACATCCTCTAGGGGAGTTGGCACATGGACAGCTCACAACTGAATTCATTTCATCTGCTTCACCTCCCATCCTTTCCCCATCCCTCTGTCTCTTGGTCTCTTTCATTTGTATAAAAGATCCCTCTACTTCCTTTTCTCTCTCTTTTATTTTGCTCTTCTTTTATACTTTGTCCTTCCCTTGTAACAGAAACTATGTGACATTTAAGCTTATGTATCTGGTTTATTTCACTTCACATATGGTCTCGAGGTGCATCCATTTTCTTACAGATGGCTGACGCGTATCCCTCTTCGTGGCAGTGTAATACTCTACTGTGTGTAAACACCACCCTTTCTGTATCTGTCGATCTTTTGATGGACGTATGGACTTTCAAGAGTTACTATTATGAGTTGGATTGTGCTCGCTTCGTAGCTTGTGCTCGCAAAGACGCCCCCATCATTTGCTGTCCTTGGTTCCCATCTGTGTCTTTGTGCCTTCTCTTTGCAGCTATGCCTCCTTTCTGCCTCAGTTGGTCTGCGTGATGGCAGCAGCCTGCAGTCCTGGAGCACCTGTCCCTGGGCACGAGGCTAGTGGGGTGGGCCGTGTGTGGAAAGCAGGCCCAGCAGGCGCAGAGGGCGGTCTGCATACCCTGCTCCTTGCAGAGAGTTGGCCTCCCTCCCAGCTGGGTGCTGCATCCCCCTCATGTCCCCTTCTCAGAGCACTGAGGTTCTCTTCCTGGAGGGTGGGAGCAGGGGACCTCTGGGAGGACCTCTGAGAAGTGCATCCCGCAGTAGAGTCACTTAAGGGTACAACTGTGCTCCTCTGCAGAATCTCAGCATGGATGTGGCTGTGTGTTGGTTACTTTTTACTTGTTGCTGAGACAAAATACCTGAAGCCCAAAGTTGGAAAAGTTTTTGGAGGTTTTAGTTCATACTCAGTTGGCTCCAAGGCAGGATGGCATGGCAGGGCTTCAGCTCATGGTGGCTGCAAACAGCAAGTCGAAACCTGCAAGAGAGAGCAAGACACACGTTCTTCTTGCCATTACATTACATCCTGGCACCACCCCTAGGCCAGTGTAGTGCTCAGATCCCCAATCCAGGCACTACACAATGAACCAGTCACAAATGCATAATGTAAATGCATGAGGCCTGGGGGCCACCGACATAAACCATGACAGGCTGTAAGCCAGGGCTTTAAGTTATAATTTCAACTTGCAGGATCTCTGCAACTCCGTGGGCTTGTGCTCTTGCACGACAGTGCTCTTGCACACTCACACACTAGAGTCAGTATCAGCCCTTGGAAATCAATGTGGAAACTGGATTAATTCACAACTTGTTTTTCAGTGCAGATGAGCAGAGCTCCCTGCTTATCCACATCGTCCTCCTTAAGGGGGAAAGGAAAGTAAAGTCCAACTCGGCGCATGCCTGTAATCCCCAACACTCAGAGGCTAAGGCAGGAGAATTACCTCAAATTCTAGGCCAGCCTGGGCTACATAATAAATTCCTGTCTCAAAGAACAAAGCAAAACAAAACAAAACAACAGTAACCCATCCATGCCTTGTGCAGCCAAAACATCTCCTGTTCACAGAACTTTGCTTGCTGTGTCTTAGAAATGCCAGGGAATTGGCCATACATTAAGTAGCCTGGAGATTCAGACCCTATCTGCAAGTGGCCGATGGAGATGATACCAGGCCCTTGTGCTGGGCCCTTATGTAGCCACTGCTGGTGAGGACTATGACATTCTCAGAGTTGGGGCACTCAGGGGAGTCGTATGTATGATAAACTCTTGGGAATATTTTTTTATGGGATTCATGAAGGGTAAAAAACAAAAAATACTTTTACCTTTTGTTCCTGATAATTCTAAAACATGCATTTGTGTGAAGCAGAATGAGGCTGTGTTTCCATGGGAGAGTCTGTCTGTCTGAGTTGTCCTGTGCATGCCTGTGCATCACTGGTATGTGGCAGCACATTGCTGCTGCATCACAGAGGAGAGGGTGGTCCAGGTGACAGGGCAGGATGCAGGTGGCCCTGTGCACGCTGCAGGCACCAGGCAAAACTTTAGTCCGACTTGGCCATTTTGTTGCCACCTGGAAAAGCTTCCGCATTCCCGTAATTAACGCCAACTCACACTTTCATTGGAGCCAGCAGGTTCTTCGATCCCCTCCCCAGTGTGGTCTCTACCTGCTATGTGTCTGGGGGACCTTAAGCCTTGTCACACATCCTGCTTCCTGTTTTCAGACTTGTTCTTTGATCTTTCAGTACTGGTAATCGAACCCAGGGCTTTGTGTGCCTGCTTTCTGCCAGTGAGCCACGCCTCCTGCTCTTTTCCAAGTGGGGTCTTGCTAAGATACCTACTCTGGGATCAAACTGGTGGTCTTCCTGCCTCAGCCTCCCACATAGCTGGGATTTTCAGGCATTAGCAGCCAGGCCTTGTGGACTTCTAGTCTTACGTGAGGCTTTCTTAAGGCTCCTGAGGTGCTTCCAATACATGCTCATAGTTGGTCTTCTTTTTTTTAAAGTATGACTTTG